TTTGAACCTTTACATAATTAATGCAGAGCAACAGTATTCATGTTTGTACTTTGGAAGTTGGAGTTTGATGGTTTTAAATTTCTGGCATACCATATAAAGAAAGGTCCTGTAGGATAAATGGGGCAGGAGTACACTCAAAAAAAGATAACAAACGATTCACGGTAAGTTAATTCCTCACTTTTTTGGGAAAAGATTACTTTAGAACCCTCAACATGAGCAGTATGACGTTACATCTTTTCTGAGAGGGCAGGAAGCAGCACTGTATTAGCAAAGATTGCTGCCAGTGACTCAAGATCTGCCACTAAGTTAGCTTCTGTATCTTGCTCGTAGAAATGTAGAAATCCATTTGCTATGTTTGTTCGAAGCACAGAGTTAGAGGTAGGTACTTATGCGAGGGAGGAGAGATGGAGAAGAGGAGTGAAGCAGCAAGGAAGAATGAGACTTGGCATCTTCTCTGGTCACAGTCCTTTCTACCAGTGGGTCTCTTAGCTGCACACATGAGCTGGTGTCTTCCCCTCACAAGCTGGGGAGAAGCTTGTGTCTGACTGTAAGTAGGGATTGTCTGCCTTTGCGCTCTCTCTTCCTTCTAGATTCCTGCTGACTTTGTCTGTGGGCTACTTTAATCAACTCACATGTATTATCCCCTTTTTCTTTTGTCTGTGTAGAAGATCATTGCTGTCTTCAAACCCAAGAATGAAGAGCCATATGGGCACCTTAATCCTAAGTGGACCAAGTGGCTGCAGAAGCTATGTTGTCCTTGCTGCTTTGGCCGTGACTGCCTTGTCCTCAATCAGGGCTATCTCTCAGAGGCAGGGGCCAGCCTGGTGGACCAAAAACTGGAACTCAACATTGTACCCCGTACAAAGGTCAGTGACCCATCTCCAGGGAGCCTTACTGCCTGGCCAGAGTTTTCCCAGGACCTAACCCCTATTTGTGGGACCTTGGGTCCAGTGGGGGGCCATTTATATCCTAAGTCTGGAGTTCTCAACCTTTTTTAGGGAGGGTAGCAGGATTAGGCTCATGATTTGACCATCTGATAAAAGCTGTCCTCAGAAGGAGACATATACAATATTTGCATACAATTTCCAGAAATGTACAGACTTCTCATGCACATTTATGGACTCCCTTGGTCTTTGGATCCCAGGTAACCCCAAGCTGGTTACCCCTAGCTACTTTTGTGGCTTTACTCTCTTAGACTTCTGAGCAGTTCCAGGATTTCAATACAGTCTAGAATGGACTAGCTGATGTCAGCTAAGCATTTAAGCAAGGTCTGGCAAGGAGGACTTTAGGATGGGCTGAGGTTTAGAATAAAGGTCTGTCCTGAACTCCTGCAGGGAACTGACATGGAATTTTTCTTATTTATCTTTATGCTGTAAAATTCTGAGACTTACCTGAACATACCACAATAGGGATCCCAGATCCAGGCAAATTTACACTGAGAATGGATTTATGCACACTTTGTATGTGTTATGAACTAAGATTAGGTCCTCCTCTTCTGAATTTTCTTGTGGGGGTTGGGGGGAAAGATGAGGTCCTGATAAAGGGTCTGGACCTCCCCATCCCTCTCAATGTTCTTAAATACAGAATTGATTACATACAGTGTCAGAGAGTTTACTGACACCAGGTTAAGAACCTGTACTACAGGGTGCTCCATGAGACTTTCCAAGGGTTATGAGGGGAAGGAACCTGCTGGTCAGCATATGAACATTTAAGGACACACTCTCACCCACTGAGTGGGGTTTAGTAATAACTTAAGTAGAACTCTGATCCGATGCCCTAATGCTGCCAAGGTGTCTTCATAGCTCTGGGTCTTAACCTTCTTTGAGAATCTGATAAAAGCTATAGATCCTGTTTCCAGAAAAAGTACACATATTTCTAATCATTATTTTGCATGTAATTTTAGGGAGATGGTTCATAGACCAGTTGTAGTCCATCCCTTGATGCCCTAGGGACCTTGCCTCTAGACTAAAACCGCTTTTATCAGGTTTAGATATTAGACTCTATGGGCAAAAAGATTGATCAGCACATAGGAACTTCCCTTCAAACCTGTTTTTTCTGTTTTCCCAGGGTGTTTTAGAAGAAAATGTGACTATTGTGGATATTCAACTGTGTCTGCTCCTTTGCCACTAAACACCAAACAATAAGCCAACTACAGGGTGTCCGGAAAGTCTGCGTACAAAGGAAAAATTTTATAATGAATATTTTGTAAATAAAGATACATTTAGCTACAATTTCCTATTTCCCTATGTACGACTTTTGGGACACCCCGTAATTTGCAAGCTCCTAGAAGTCAGAAACTTCTAGAGATTTTCTTCTCCCATTCTCAGCCCCAGCAAAGCACTATACTTATAGTAAGCAGTCATTAAGTACCAGCTGAATCAGTGAATGAATATCAAATCATGAGAAACAACACCAAAGATCCTCCAACTTCAGGTCTATGGAGAAAAAAATGTTTGACCAGGCTCATAGCTCCTATTTCACATCTAATTCACTGCCCAGCTTTGTGCATTTCATTCCTTCCCTTTGTGCTGTATTTTTCTCTCTGTGTGCAGGTAGTTAAACAGAACATTTTGAATGTCATGTATCGTAATTAATGCTTCTAAGTGTCCTGTCTAACCTGAAATCCTCCTACTAGGCCCCTCCTTGACTCTAGAAACTTGAAAATACTCCTTGCTCATCACTGTGTAATTTTCTTCCTAGGCAAGTGGCAGACCGCTTCTGGCCCTATGCCTGCCTGCTCTGCTGTGGCTTCAAGAGTATGTGGCCTAAGAATCAGAGAGCTTGAGTTTGAATTCCAGCTCTACAGCTTTTTTTGTGTGTGACCCTTGGGCAAGTCACTTAACCCCTCTAGGCTCAGTTTCCTCATTGTAAAAATAGGGATGTCAATAGTTGCTATTTTATAGCCTGCCCATCAAGATTACACAAGATAATCCACGTAAAGCACACAGCCCAGTGCCTGGCACAATGTAAGCACTCCATACATATCAGCCTGTGGTATTTTTATGAGCTGTTCTAATCTTTAGCATTACCCCCACAATCCCGTTCTTCCCCATCTCTGGTCGTTCTCTTGCCCTGTTAGAGAACCTTAATGAGGCCTAAAGATCTTTGGCATCAGAAAGTAGCAACAACAAAAATACATGTCTTCCATGAGACTGAGGTGAGGCAGAACTTGCAAGCTTAACATACAGCTGCTGGGGAATAGGAGGAGGACTCTCTCCCTTCCCTATACCTCCCCCGCCCTGTGACAGGATTCTATCCAGTGGATCAGAGCATCTGTCACTATGGAAATGGGGCTCATGTTGTGATGGAGCTTCAAATAGTGACGCTTTAATTCTCACTCGCTGGCTGTCTCTGCTCTTTGTTCCTGTGAGTTTTCAGGTTATGATAATTTCATTAGTTACAGGGAAAACGTGGTTTATTGGGAAGAATGAGAAAATAAATCTGATGGGGGGAAATGTGGTTTATGTCTTGAAAGAATCAGGGTTTTCGCTGTGGAAACTGGCAAGGCAACCTTAGGAAAGCTCTTTTTCCTTCATTCCTATGCCTTAGTTTCCTCATTTGTATGGCAGGAGTACCTACTACAGTACCTTGTTAACACTGGATGGACAGATGGAGTGATGGATGGGAGGAAATTGGTTTGCCTCTCAGGTTCATGGACAAAATAATTAGTTATTTATAATGAATTTTGCATGGCTTAGGAAAGTAATTCTCTTAATATTTGATTTTAGGTATTTATGTGCTAAAACCCACTTGTTGCGATCTCTGAAGGAAGCTCATAACTCATTCATTCATTCAGTTAAATATTTAATGAGCATGTATGTGCCAGGTATTGTGTTAAGTGCTGAGGATGCCATATAAATAAGATGTTTTATGCTTCCTCAAATCTCATTAGTTTTATTTTTTTATGTTATTTTTTTGAGACAGGGTCTTGCTCTGTGGGCCCAGGCTAAAGTGCGGGTGGTGTCATCATAGCTCACTGCAACCTCAAACTCCTGGGCTCAAGCGATCCTCCTACGTCAGCCTCCTGAGTAGCTGGAACTACAAGAACACGCCACCACACCCAGCTGATTTTTCTATTTTTTGTAGAGACAGGGTCTTGCTATGTTGCTCAGGCTGGTCTCAAACTAACTGCTGGCCTCAGGCATGAGTCACTGCCTATAATCCTAAGAGAAAAGTTAGATACACAAATGGATAATTACAAGACAATGTGATAAGTGTGATAATAGATGAATATACAGATTATAGTGATGTCACTGTGATTTGACAATCAAGTATAATATTGATGGCTCATTAAAAAATTATTTTTGAATAGGCAGTACATGCATCTAGTGCAGAAATCAGAAGGCACAGACAGTAAACAGAGAAAAATAATTCTGACTCCCTCCTACCCATCTCTTGGTCACTCAGTTTCCTTCCTCAGAGGCAGCTACTATTACTAGTTTCTTGTGTAATATTCCAGATATAGTCTGTGCATAAATATATCAATCCATTAAAAATGAAAACCAATTTTAATGTTTTTTTCTTCAGAGTATTACAGGGGTACAAACATTTGGGTTACATAAATTGCTTTTGTACAGTTTGAGTCAAAGTTACAAGTGTGCCCACCACCCAGATAGTGTGCATTGGACCCATTAGGTATGAATTTACCCATCCCCTCCTCCCCACTCCTATGTTTATTTTTTTGAATATGAATAATTGCAGAAAGTATAATAAAAAATTCAAAAGGAAATAAAAGGGTACAGCATAAATTACAATTTGTTTTTATCTGCAAAGAAAATAGGCATTTGGCTTATTCTTTTAACCCAGGAAGTGACTGTGTTGGTCAGTGTAATTCATGCTAGCTGCTGTGACAACCCCTGAATCTCAGTGGTTTAATACATTAGGAGTTTATTTCTTGGTTATATCTCAGACTCATGTCAGTTAGGCAGCTCTCCTAGATCACATGTCACTCATGTAGTAACAAAGGATCTGGGGTCCTTCTGTGGTGTGGCTTTGCCATCTCAGAGCCATTCTTTTCCCAGCTCTACTGATTGGAAAATGTGAACTAAGGATCGGGAGATTTTAGGGCCCAGGCCTAAAAGTAGTACATACCTCACCTTGTCAACATTCCATTGGCCTGAATTAGTTACCTTCCGTATTCTAGTTGCTAGGAAGGCCAAGAAATACGTCCTTTCTCTGTGCCCTGGAAGAGGAACAGTACTGGTGAACATCTAGCTATTTATTCTCTACCATAGTGGTCTGGTTCCTTAAACTTGACGCTAACCTTGGTATCTCTTCTTTTTCCACTATAGGTAGTATACCTAGCCAGTGAGACCTTCAATTATAGTGCCATTGACCGAGTGAAGTCCAGGGGCAAGCGGCTTGCACTAGAGAAAGTGCCAAAAGTTGGGCAGCGCTTTAACCGCATCGGGCTACCACCAAAGGTATAGACGCACCTGTGTGACTTATCAAAGGTGATGATTTATAGTGGCATAGTAAGTGGTGAAGCAAGGTGCCCACAGACTCAAATATGGGCATGTGAATAGCCTGCCCTACGGCTCCTGTCATCCTCATTTCTGTAAAAGGTTTGGGGAATAATTTTCCAGAGAGTCAAGGCCCAACTTTCTCACTCTTCTGGTCCATTTCGATACTCTTTCTTTTTGTTTTTGAGACAGGATCTCACTTTGTCACCCAAGCTGGAGTACAGGGGCACAATCATAGCTCACTGCAGCCATGAACTTCTGGGCTCAAGCAATCCTCCTGCCTCAGCCTTCAGAGTAGCTGGGACTATAGGTGCACCACCACGCCCAGCGAATTTTTTTATTTTTTATAGAGACAAGATCTCACTATGTTGCCCAGGCTGGTCTCAAACTCTTGGCCTCAAGCAGTCTTCCTGCCTTGTCCTCCCGAAGTGCTAGGATTACAAGTGTGAGTCACCGTGCCCAGCCTGGATGGGATTCTTTAATTTAAATGGATGATCTCCGCCATACCCTCTTTCTCCTGTACTTGCAAGGAAACGAAGATCTTGAAGTTTCCGTTCTCTGATTTGAACTCCATAGGGCCTACTTAGTGGGTACCTGGCTTACTCTTGGGGTGTTTGGACTTGGACTATAGGGAAATACCTTTGTTCTTTCCTTGATTCCAGGTTGGTTCATTCCAGCTCTTCGTCGAAGGCTACAAAGATGCGGACTACTGGCTACGGCGTTTTGAAGCAGAACCTCTCCCTGAGAACACTAACCGGCAACTACTGCTGCAATTTGAGCGGTTGGTGGTGCTGGATTACATCATCCGCAACACTGGTGAGCAACTGCGGATGGTCCCATGCCCTGTGCCACACTGTGCTGAGGCATGGGGGAGACCTGGAGGCTCGCAAGGCTTGGGACTCAGAATGCCTTGTGAAGATGGGTTTTTTTCCTAAGTCAGAAGGGTCATGCACATTTGGAGAGGGTCTCAGAGAATACTTTCTTGGGTTAAGCTTTGTCTGGGCACATCATGTGTAGTTATCAGAGGTGGTAAGGCCTGAAGTATTTACATTTTATCGTAGCCTCTTTCCCAGACCCAGATGGAAGATACCTGGCTGTTCCAAAGCACTGTGAAGGATACTCTCGATCCTTAGTCATTCTTGTAGCATTAAGACCTATCACAGGACAATTTTGTCTTTAACTTCTTGAGATGGTTGCTTAGATTGTTGATATTTTTAAAACATTTTCCAGTGCAAGGCCGGGCACTGGTGGCTTATGCCTATAATCCTAGCACTCTGGGAGGCCAAGGCAGGAGGATTGCTTGAGCTCAGGAGTTTGAGACCAGCCTGAGTAAGAGCGAAACCCTGTCTCTACTAAAAATAGAAAAATCAGCTGGGCGTCATGGCACTTGCCTGTAGTCCCAGCTACTCAGGAGGCTGAGACAGGAGGATCACTTGAGCTCAGGAATCAGAAGTTGCTGTGAGCTAGGCTGATGCTACTGCACTCTACCCAGGGTGACAAAGTGAGACTCTGTCTCAAAAAAAAAAAATTTCCAGTGCAATTTTAATTCAGCTAGCCTGGCAGAATCTACACGTATTTAGGACAGAAACCTTTAAATTAATGCTTTTTTAGAGCTATATTATGTTCAGTTTTTTATTATGATAAAATGCACATAACATAAAATTTAGTATCTCAACCATTTTTAAGTGGTTAAATACATTCATATTGTTGTGCAGCTAGCACCAACATCCATCTCCAGATCTCTTTTCCTCTTGTGAAACTGAAGCTCTATACCCTTTAAACAATAACTTTCCATTCTGCCTTCTCCCCAGTCCCTGGCAACCACCATTCTATTTTCTGTTTCTATGATTTTTGACTACTCTAAGGACCTCATGTAAGTGGAATCATGCAGTATTTGTCTTTTTGTGATTGGCTTATTTCACTTAGCGTAATGTCCACAAGGTTCATTCATGCTGTAGAATATGTCATAATTTCCTTCCTTTTTAAGAATGAGTAATGTTCCATTTCATGTGTATACCACATTTTTCCTCTCTACCCATCCATCAGCAGACACCTGGATGGCTCCCATATTTTAGTGACTGAATTATGCTGCTGTGAACATGGATGTACAAACATCTCTTCAATATCCTGCTTTCAGTTCTTTTGGGTGTACACCCAGAAGTGGAATTGCTGGATCGTATATGGTAATTCTATTTTTAATTTTTTGAGGAAACACCATACTGTTTTCCATAGCAGCTGTACCATTTTACATTTCCACCAACAGTGGACAATTTTTCTACATCCTCACCAACACTTAGTATTTTCTGTTTTTTTGATAGTAGCCATCCTAATATATGTGAGATGGTATCTCATTGTAGTTTTGACTTGCATTTCACCAATGCTTAGTGATGCTCAGCATCTTTTCATATGCTTATTGGCCAATTGTATATCCTCTTAGGAGAAATATCTCTTGCCTGATTTTGAATTGGCTTTTTTGTTGTTGTTGAATTTTCAAAGTTCTCTGTATATTCTGGCTGTTAATCCCTTATCAGATATATAATTTGCAAATATTTCCTCCCATTCTGTGCCTTTTTACTCTGTTGATAGTGTCTTTTGGTGTACAAAATTTTTTAATTTGCATGAAATGCAATTTGTTTTTCTTTTGTTGCCTGTACCTTTTGTGTTATAGGTGTTATATCCAAGAAATAATTTCCAAATCCAATGTCATGAAGCTTTTTCCCTGTGTTTTCTTCTAAGGGTTTTATAGTTTTAGGTCTTATATTTAGGTCATGGATCCATTTTGAACTAATTTTTGTGTGTGTTATTAGGTAAGGCTCCAGCTTTGTTCTTTTACATATAGATATCCAGTTTTCCCAGCACCATTTCTTGAAAAGACTATCTTTTCCTCATGGGAATGGTCTTGGCACCCTTATCAAAAATTATTTGACTATAAATGTGAGAGTTTATTTCTAGACTCTTTATTCCATTGGTCCATATGACTGTCTTTGTGCCAGCACCACACTGTTTTGATTACTGTAGCTTTGTAGTAAGATTTGAGATCAGGAAGTGTGAATCCTCCAGCTTTGTTGTTTTTCAGGATCATTTTGGCTATTTGGGGTCCCTTGATATTTCAAAATTTTAGGATTTATTTTTCTGCAAAAAACATCATTGGAATTTTGATAGATACTGCATTAAATTTATAAATCACTTTCGGCAGTATTGATCGTAACAATATTAAGTTTTTCAATACATGAACACAGGATGTCTTTCATTTCTTTCAGGAAGGTTTTGTAAATTTCATTGTACAAGTCTTTCATCTCCTTGGTTAGGTTAATTCCTTGTGTTTTATTCTTTTTGGTGCTGTTGTAAATGGGATTGTTCTCTTAATTTTCTTCTCAGATTGTTCATTGTTAGTGTAGAGAAATGCAACTGATTTTTGTGTCCTTTATATCTTACCACTTTGCTGAATATTAGTTCTAACGAATTTTTTTGGTATATGATTTGCAAATATTTCCTCCCATGGTAGAATCTTTAGGATTTTGTACATAGGCAATAATATCATTTGCAGACAGAGTTAATATTACTTATTCCTTTCCAATTTGGATGCTTTTTCTTTCTTTCTCTTGCCTGATTGCTATGGCTAGGACTTCGAGTACTATGTTGAACAGAAGTGGTGAAAGCAGGCATCCTTGCCTT